ATCTATCTATCTATCTATCTATCTATCTATCTATCTATCTATCTATCTATCTATCTATGAATGACAGGGTGTCTCTGTGTAACATCCCTGGCTATTCTTGGAACTTATTGGGTAATCAGGCTGGCCTGGCCTTGAACTCACAGAGATCCTCATGCCTCTGCCTTCCTAACACTGAGATTAAAGGTGTGCACCACCAATCCAACATTAGAAACTTAAGAAAAAGTTTCCATATGCTATGATATTTTTATGTGAAAATATATTTGCATGATTTTATCATGTCTTTCAGTTCAGTAATAAAAGTTTGATTGTCCCTATCAAAAATGCATTGAAGAATATCTAGATCAAGCTGGGCACAGTGCCACATGCCTTTAATTGGGAGCCAGAGGCAGGTGATCAAGGTCAGCCAGAGCTCTAGGATGGCTAAAGCTAAGTAAGCGAGACCCTGTCTCAAAAACAAACAAACAAACAAACAAACAAACTAGAGTAATGACAAAGTTGAGAGAGCCAATGTATATACTTTGTAAAATGATGTCAACGTTTTTAGGCAGCTGCCATTTTTCACAATAAAATGTTGAAAGAAACCCACCACTTATTTCAAGTGTAAGAGAAAGAAGGGGGTTCAATCCTCTGCAGGACCAATCTGAACATGCTCCTGCCTCCTTTCTCACTATCCCCGTGAAAGGGTTGTTCCACCTCCAAAGTGACAAGACCCACATGTTGAAGAATCCTACTTTAGGAAAACAGAAGAAAGAGTAGCAAAGAACAGGAGGTGGCACTCACAAGAAAACCTTTCTCCTCAACAGTTGAATTCACTTGACAGCTTATTTTTAAACAGATGTGACCTTCCAATGGAGATAAAAAAGGTACCTGTGAAGAAAAGGAGAAAATTAGTTGTAAAATTCTTTTGTTTTTGTTTTTTCAAGACAGGGTTTCTCTGTATAGCCCGGGCTGTCCTGGAATTCACTCTGTAGACCAGGCTGGCCTCGAACTCAGAAATCTGCCTGCCTCTGCCTCCCAAGTGCTGGGATTAAAGGCGTGCCCCACCACTGCCCAGCTTCAGCTGATCATTTTAGAAGCAATGAACTCCTAATATATAACATGAATAAATTTCAAAGCGCATCATGTTGAACAAAGCTGGTTAGACTTAGAAGACCACGCATATTGTTCCATTTACAGAAAGTTGAACAACAAGCAAAACTAATATAGGAGGACAGGAGTGGGAAGAGTTGTGGGTAGTTGGGACTGATGATAAGTGAGTGACAGAAATGCTGTTGGCTGTGCTTGGTGTTTACTAAACAAGAACATATATCAAAACCCATTCAACTGTGCCTTAAGGTCTTTACATGTACTTAAATTTAAAAATTGTTCTTTTCTTTACCATCTTGACACAAGTGTGTGTGTGTGACTTGATGGAGTTTGTTCCAGTCAAACTCAGGTCCTAAGGCTTGTGCAGCCAGTGCTTCACGCTAAGCCATCTTGCCTGCTCCTTGAATACAGTGTTTCTACATAGCATGACCATAGTCAGTCATAACCAGTCCTCCTGTGTCAATCTCCAGGGAAATGTGGGCACTTTCTATTGCTGTAGATTAGTTTTTGAGTACATTATTTTCCTAAGAAAAACAAGTTTGTTTTAAAGGGAAGAAATTTAAACACATAAGAAATGTTCTTAACAAGTTACAGTGACTCAGTTTATGAGACTTGATACTTACAACTGTGCTGTGCAGTAAGTAAGAGACTAGACTGGGAGTTTTTCTCTTTCCCAGGCTAACAGGATGAGTCTCTTGGTGCAGGGCAGCACTACCCACATACATACTACCATATACTACAGTTCCACATAGGCCACAGACAGGCAGCTGTTACTTTTCAGCATCTCATGTCCTTAAGCAAGTTTTTACTATTAGAAGACTGTACAAGGTCCAGGAGCTAACCATTACTTTCCTATACAATAGGATTTATGTTAGATGAATCTGTCCAAGTACAGGCTAATGTAAGTGTTCTGACTGTGTTTATGGGAGGGATAAGCCATGTTCAATAGCTTTCGGTATCTTAAGTGAATTTCCAATTTATAATGAGATGATCAGAATATGAGCTCATTTCAAGTTAGGAAACATCTATAGACAACACACACAAACACACCACTAAAACAGGGACCCAGAAGCAATGGACTCAAAATTTCCCCATGAACCTCTGACTGATGGAGGCAAAGGCTAAACGGCTGGCTGACACTAATCGGCACTGCTTCCTCAAAGGGGATTTCAGAAAATTTATCTCACAAATTAACATACACATATTTCCTGGTTTTAGTTACATCTCTTTTCTATAAACTCTGCTACATGCACACAAAAAGGCTATCTTCTTCAGATAGGCCAAGCTTTAAATAAACCCATTTTTCCCTTGGTAAATTCCTGTTCCTAACAGTTCTTGCAACAGACGAAAGGTAAAGCTTATGGACCTACATGCCACTAACAACACTTCCCTGAAACACATCATTTTTATCCCAAGAGAACAAGGGACCTGACAATAATTACCCTGTAGGTCACATACTCATTTACAAACCGCCTGAAACACACCTGACACAAAGCTCAGTTCTTGTGCCATCTTACTAGGGGTAGATTTCTAAAACTCTGGAGTCCATAGTCAGTCAGCCTGACAGAAGACAGAAACAGGCCTAGAGGTAACGGCACAGCAATGCTGAGCTCCAGCTAGAGGTGCTGTTTAATCTCTATGAAGAAGGTGTGTATTTGCCTGTATGCAAACCACAGCCCATTACTCACAATATGGTGACTAATCTTGACCATGGCTGATATACTAATCAGGGACAGATATATTCCTGAAAAATTATTCCCAAGCTCTGTTCACTAACTTTATTTTACTGAGTGTGAAAGATTTGTACAATTAAGTGCCCAGGATTCTACTTCTAATTTAGAGATTAAAAACTTACAAAAGGCCTCATTTCTTTAAAAACAAAAAATAACAACAATAAAAAAACCTGGGTAAACTTAACAAAACCAAACAAACCAAATCAAACTGAACTTTTGTTTGCAGGAGATGGAGACCATTATGGAATACTACAACCAACCAAAACAGAGATGTGGAGTCCTGTCCCAGGAGATTCCTCTACAACCCAACTCCCTCACCTATAGCTCAGGGAACACTGAGGAAGAGGGAGCAGGAAGACTGTGAGAGCCAGAGAACCAGCAAGTTTTTGCTAAGATGTGTCTCCTAGTAACGTCAGAAGCTGCCTAGCAATATCAGAGGCCATGAATTTGAAAGAGAGTAAGAATGGGTGTTTGGAAGAGTTTGATGAGAGGAAAGAGAGGGAGAAATGACGTAATTATAATTTCAAAAAGAAAGAAAAAAGACGGGGCAGGAGAGATGGCTCAGTGGTTAAGAATACTGACCGTTCTTCCAGAGGTCCCAGCAACCACATGGTGGCTCACACCCATCTGTAATGGGATCTGATGCCTCTGGTGTGTCTGAAGACAGAGACAATGTACTCAAATACATAAAATAAATAAGTCTTTTTAAAAAAAAAGACATCAAACGAGTGTTTCTGGTGTTTGGGCTAAGATAACATGAAGACATCAAATCACTGCAAAAGCAATAGGTGGGAAGCACTAAGCTCCAAGAAGATATGGGCCTCTGCTAGGAACCACTTTTCCCCTGTGCAAGGTGCAGGGGACTGCCCTGCCTGCTCGGCTTCCTTACCAGCATCTCATGAGCAAATGCTAGCTGCAGACAGGCTGGAGACCAGAGGGTCCAGCTCAGTCTCAAGGTATCTGAAACAAAAACTGAACCAAAACAACCCAAAGGTGAACTTCAATTTTAAGCACTCTGAAGGCCGAGAGGAATGCCACAAGTTTGAGGCCAGCCTATCCTACATAGCGAGCTTAAGAGCAGCTGAGGTCAGATAGTAAAAAAAAAACAAACAAACCAACAACAACAACAACAACAATCTTGCTGGGTGTGTGGGCCCACGTCTTTAGTCTCAGCACTCAGGAGCCTGAGGAAGGTGGATCTCTGAGTTTGAGGCCAGCCTGGTTTACAAAGCAAATAAAACCAACCAACCAAACAACAACAACAACAACAACAACAAAAACACCAAATAAAAACCAAATAAGCAAAACAAATCTTAAAGACAGAGCAGAGTGGCTGTGGTAGCGGAAGGCAGGAAGGGAAGGCTCAGCTCCTCCCCAGTACTTGGTTCTGCTTTCAGAAGGAAAGGTGCCCAGGTCTGACAGCTGCAAGCTCTAGCCAGCCCCACCCAGGCCCACCTGAGGCCGAGGACAAGTCCTCACTGAATTGAAGCTTGCTTGGCTGTTCTGGCCTGGAGACCAAGAAGGCTCTGTGCAATGTGTACATCAGTGAAGACGGAGAACGAGGTGGACATTTAGTTGACGTCCACAGGAATACAAGACAGTGCCGGGATTTACAATGATGGCCCAATCTGTGAATGAACGACCCCTGAAGAATGAAGATTAAGTATTCTGCAAGTTCTCCGATGAACTTTGATAACATCTTCATAATTTATTCTTAAAGCAAGAAAAAGGAAGGTTGACAGTGAGGTGTAATTTGTCCACATTTGTGTGAGATTAAATGTAAATGAGCTAACAGCTCAATGAAAAGGAAAGAGAAAAACAAGAGAAGAGAGGGCCTGTCAGGTATGTAACAATCATGAGCACAGCTGCACCTAAGACATTAACCAGAAGCAGACAGACTCGGAGTAAGGGGAAGGAAGGCACAGGAAACAGAGCACAGATACCAAGCCACTCTGACCACACAGACTGAAGAGGAAAGGCACCAGAAGCAGGGATGGTGTCCTAGTTCTGTAATTCCAGCATTCAGGAGGCTGAGGCACAGGATCATAACAAACCTGTGCCTCACCTTGGACTACACAAACAGACCTCAAAAAAGATAATCAAGTCTATAACAATAGAGATCAGAGATAAATTCAGCAGAAAGTTTAATAAATACTGCAAAATTGACAAAATCAGTGAGGGGTACCCACTGTGCATGAGCCCCTCAGTTTGAATCCCAAGACCCCATACACAACACGTTCTCTATCTCAGAAAAAAAAAATAAATCTAGAAATTATATACATTGTTCCTACTAATTAAGTTTAGGGGTTGCTATTTTCTTCCATATTAGAGCATGGTGACTATCTAGCATGGAACTATTTATATAAGATTTAAAAAATTAAAAAAGAGCCAGGCAGTGGCGGCACCTGCCTTTACTTCCAGCACTAGGAAGGCAGAGGCAGGTGGATCTCTGTGAGCTGGAGTCCAGCCTGGTCTACAGAGCGAGTCCAGGGCAGTCAGGGCTACACACAGAATCCCTGTTATGAAAAACAAAATCAAGAAACAAAACATGTCAAATCTTCCTTACTAACACACAGGACAAAAGGTTCCTGCCCAATCTGTAGTTCATGAGTCTTTCTAAGGCATCTACACTTCACTGGTTACCACTAAGAGATAGGAACTGCAACCCATATGCAGGAAGAATGAACAATGTAACTCACCACACCCTGGCATAGTTTAGCGTAAAAAGGCAGAGACAATTACAAAACAACATAAACTGGATTTCTTTACAGATAAGAACTCGCAAGCCATGTCTACAGAGAATCCGCAGCCAGCCAGAGCTACACAGTAAGAACTTGTCTAAGAAAAACAAGTGCCTCATCACGCTAGCTCTAGCTCCCAAATCCTGGAATTCCATAGTTGTTTTACTTCATTACTGTTTTCCCTAAAAATATTTTAAGGGACATTTCTGTTTCCTAAAGAACTCCTCTCTACACATACCTCAGCAGTTCTTTCAAGCCAGTTGAGGTTCTCCCACTAAAGCAGAAAGCTGAGTATTCTGGATGTCATACTGACATAAAAAGTTTAAGTCTGCAACTGACTGAGATTCATTTAGGTTCCAGGACTCAGCTTTTACTTTAGGTATCAGCTCACACAACAGAGAAATCTGCCTGTGCTTCTAACTCTCTCCTTCTGGCCTCTGCAGGAACCAGGTACATACATGGTGCATATACATACATGCAGTCAAAACACTCATAAGAACAATCTTACAGCATCATACCAGTAGCTCTTTTAGTATATCAGAAGTCAAAGGTGAAACAATTTTAGTCTTAAACTAGTTATTAATTTCCTATTCTAATTAGTATTGATAAAAAGTAAGTATAAAAGTGAATATAGACTTCAAGAAATTATAAAATGTGGTCTGGGAGTGTAGCTCAGCTGGCAGAGTCCTTGTCTACCATGCATAAACCCTGAGTCTGATCTCCAGCATCCAAGACTCAGCCACGAAGATCAATGGCTGTCATCAGAGCACCTGGAAGGTAAAGAGGATCCCAAGTTGAAGGTCACCTTTGCTTACATAGTAAGTTTGAAGCCAGCCAAGAATAAATGAAACCATCTTAAAAAAAAAAGAAAAAAAGAAGAAAAATCATAAAATGGAAGAAAATATACAGAGAAAATTCCAAAGCAATGAAAAATTATCAAGAAATTAAAAAAAGCTTTTGAAGAGTTGTGAAAGTAGAGTAAAAGATGCTCATACCCAAGAACCTAAAGAATAACCTTTTTGTCTCTACATATATATGGTTAATTATTCAAGTACACCAAAAATATACAAGAGTGTTTAGTGAAACAAACACACATGAACTAGAAATCAAGGTTTGGTTAGTTACTGTTTTTTTTTTTTTTTAAATAGATTTTAAAAAAATATTAAATTTAATTTATTCACCAGGACATATACTTAATCAGCAGCATTAATATAATGATGATTAAGAAATAACAGACAGAAAATGATTTCTTAAACATGTTAATTTTAAGTAAAGAAAATAAAGCAACCTTTTCCTGGAACAAATAGCCCAGTAGCTCCTGCTCTCTTACATCAAAATTTATCTAAAATAAACAAAAAAGAAAAAAAAAAGAAAAAAGATCCAGAATCACTCAATGTGTTAAGACTACTTCAATTACTAAATAAGTTACAATTTTAGCATACTAAAATACATTTTTTGTGTTAATAGTAGTTAAAAATTTAAACAGTCAGTACTTTTGTCTAGCAACCAAAATAAAAAAAAAATTTTTTCATAGTTTAAAGTTAGGCTGGCTTGTATTGATCTAATATTTCCTATGAGAAAAACAAGATCCTAGAGAGATGAAGTGACTGCTCAAAATTCAGAAGTAAACTGCTAGCTTACAGGCTGAGTGAGCATGCACAAACACTGTGCTCCCCTCCCCTTCAGTGTGGCCGAGGAAGAAACAGGATAAGAAATAATAGACGCCAGGCCTCAGCTTCACCTCTGTGTTCTGACTGCAGAATTCTCTAATACTACTACGAAATGCCAAAGACTGCACACTCTATCCATATGTGGAAGAGTTTTACAAGTCAGTAACAACGTTAGCAGTGATTTTTAGAGACAAAGAAAAACAGGAAGAGGGATGGAATAGGGGGGCTGAAGGTCAAGGCAAGTACTAAGATACAAACAAGCTAGGCTTAACAACTGTGTTATCATGTTGGTACTCTCAGCAATTTACAGGTAGACCAGGAGGTCAGGAGTTCTAGGCCAGCCTCAGCTACACATTAATAACACTGAGGGTAGTCTGGGCTATATGAGACCTCAACTCAAAAAAGAAAGAAGAAAGGAAAAAACCCATAATTAGTCAGAAGGAATAAATTCTAGTATTTACATCACAGTGGGAGGATTATAGTTCATAACAAACTATTATACATTTTAGGAAAAACTCAGACAGGTTCTTTTAGTTGTAAAATGTTAAGAAAAAAAGAGGCACAAAGTCTAACTATCCTGACTGAATCAGCTCACATTGTATACATGTGTTACAATAAATATGCAAATTACTATATACAATACAAATTTACAAATTTTTAAATTAAGATGTAAAAAAACTGCATTTAAAAACACAACACAATATTATGTATGAGGAGTCAACCTAAGGTTGTTGACCTCCAGTTCTCTCATACCCTACCATGGTCTCATTAGCTATTTAAATTCTTATTTATTTCACACTTATGGTAAAAAGCACTCCATATCCATAAAATAGAGATATGAAGTTTGAAGTGTTAAATTTGGGAAGGAATATGGAAAAGAAATTTCTGAAAAGATGTGGTTAGTACACGCCTACAATCCCAGTACTGAGAGGCTGAGGAAAGAGGACCAAGAGAGCTTCAGGCTAATCTTAGTGACACAGTTAAGACCCTGGCCTATAAAACAGAAAAGCCCAAATCTATAACGTATTGAACTGTTTTAAAATATAAACAGCATCTAACTGGAAGATATAACACAGAAGTGGCACGGAAAGCAATATAAAACTGAAGATCTAACTACATGTGGCATTAAAATACAAAACACTCCTAACATTATTACTCATGTGTACCCGTATCTTTTAAAATGTACAGTTTGAAGAATGTCTATCTCAGGCAAAGGTTTTAAACATTTGAAAGTACTCTGGAATGTCTATAGGCTAATGTTTTTCAGTGTAACACAATGTAAGTACAGCCGGGTTACCTTGTCCAAAGCAAACTTGGTGTCTCCAACAGAAGATAACGACAGTGTGTGAGATCCAACTAGGGTAAAGTTGCTGGTGCGCACAGCACTGAGACCTCCTGGACTGGCCATAACTGTAGAGAAACAGGGAGTGACATTTAGTTCAGATTGGCTTTTCTAAGTGTGGTAGTTCAAACAGGAATAGCCTCACAGACTCGTGTATTTGAATGGTCAGTCCTCAGTTGATAAACCATTGAGAAAGAATTAGGAGGTGTGTGTGGCCTGCTGGTGGAGACATAGCCTCATTGGAGATGTGTCACAAGGAGTGGGGTTTGAGGTTTCAAAAGCCCATGCCAAGCTAGTCTCAATCTCTCCCTCCCAGTCTCCCCCCTCTCCCCTGGATGCTGCTTGTCTGGTTCCCACCATGAAAGTCATGGACTCACCCTCTGAAACTGTAAGCAAGCCTCTAAGTAAATGCTTCCTTTTCTAAGAGTTGCTTTGGTCTTGGTGTCTCTTCACAGCAATAGAACAGTGGCTAAGACACTAAGTAATACCTCTTATCCTCCACATGAATAAAATCAAACTGCCACAGAGAATCTGCCACATTGTCTTTTATTTCTTCTCATTCTACCTCATTTGCTTCTGTCTTCTGAGACAGGGATTCATCCCTTCCACCAGGCAGGCCTAGACCTCACCATAGCCGAGAATAGCCTTGAAAGGACAGCCTTTCAAGTAGCCTTGCTTCAGCCTTTCAAGTATCTCAACCACAACTATGAGGCACCATGCCCAATGTCTTCCAGTTTTACTGTGTGTGTGTGTGTGTGTGTGTGTGTGTGTGTGTGTGTGTGTGTGTGTAAACCAAGCAAAGCAAACCAAGAAGGAATGTGTATGTATGAGTGTACAGATTAAATATATTTATAAAGGTATGGAACTACTAAATTTAATTATTCTAAAGTTTCAAATGGTTTAGGTCCACTCACCTGAAGAATGAAGGCTGCTTTTCTAACAAAGAAAGGATAAAGAAGATACAGTAGTTATTTCTTTTATTTAGATTTAAATGTTAAGTATGAAATTAACACTATAAGGATTACATTTGAGAAAATATTTCTCCCCATATAAGTGTCAACAATTAAAATATTTTAACTTACTTTGACAAAGTTTTACTATATTGTCCAGAGTGGACTTCAACCTATAATCCCCTTGCTTCTGCCTCTCAAGTACTGGGACCCACTAGTGGATGTTAAAGACTTCTATAATCAAGGTTTAAAGCTAGTCGGTCAGTCAATGTGTAGTTTCATTCAAAATGTAGATTTATCAAAGGATTCAATTTTTAGAAAAATCCTACTTACTGAAGTTATAGATGTGAGGAGTCTCTTTGGAGTAATAGCCTGGAAAACAAGAGAACTTAGCATATTTTCTACTAAATATTGCAACTCAAAGCTTAAAACTAAAGTTATCACATAGAAATTAACTGTTGAATATAAACAGACCATACTTAATTACTTTATCAAGGTTTTTCAAATACTGGTATCTTATTTTAAAGTAAAGCCAAAGAATTTTTAAAAAAGTTTTCTTCCTTTTCACCCAACAAAAAGTTAGACTAAAGAAAGATTTAAAAAC